TCCGTTGTTTGGATCTGAGATTGTTGTGGTCAAAATATTCCCATATTTAGGACTTTGATTCTGGGAAAGTTTTTGCTCCTACATAAAAAAAGCACAGTCCATCCTCTAAAACAGCCACGGAAGGCTGCAAAACCACTTATTATAACATTTAAAATCATTTATAACCTTATGATAATTTTTTTAGAAATGTGTGCACTTTCTATATACGACATTCCAATATGGCAGGCGTTACCTTAGCAACACAAAAGAATTTTCAAAATTTTACCTCATGACTTAATTCTCCACTCTATTTATTATTTATATTGATGCTACCCAATGATGCTACCACATTTGTAAGCTTAGTTTCTTCTTCATAATGAATTTCAAAATTTCCCCCGCCTCATGCCTTAAACCGGCAGTGGACACTCCGTCTAAACGAAGCTTGAGTGCCGTGAACGTAGCCTCAACAGCGCCTGCAAACTGCATTCACGGCGCCGTGAACCTAGCCTGCCAACTACATTCACGGCGCCGTGAACCTAGCCTGCAGACTACGTTCACGTGCGTTTTTTTAATGTAGATCTAGATCTAGTGGTGAAGCAAGCACATTCTGGTTTTGTCCCCAAGAGGAGCTCTTGTAGACCTTAGTATAGATCTAGCCTATACTTTTCCTTTTACCAATTTAGGCCTGGTTAAAGTTCAATAGTGGCTTTCCTTGGTCTGTGAGTCTAATTATTATTTTTTATTTTTGAATTTTAGGCTCAGGAGAAGAAAAAAAAAAGGTAGTGTCAATTGTGACCGGAGACATAGCCGGAGACGTACGCTGCTCTTCTTTCCTGAAAGTCGGTTTTCACATTTTGGCCCAAATATAGAAGATGTATTATTTATTTTTGTCGTCTTCCGGGACTTCCCTCACCAGTTGACTTGGGAAGATTGAAGAATACCGGACCACTCGGATTATTGCGCGAGAATGCGGGGCGGAGGAAGGGATTATGGGGGGGGGGGGGGGTCTCCCCCCTGACAAACTGCTGAAGAACAGATCTAGGCTACCGGTCTGAGATTTTTCATTGAGAGAGATTAAAAACTGGGGAAAATTATAAATTCCTAAGGTTGTTGAGACATAGGCAAAAGTTGTCCTAATCCGCTGGTCCTAATCCGCTGGTCCGGTATCCTTCAATCTTACCGTTGACTTTGGCTAGAAATGCCAATTGCCCGCTGCGCCTTGGGCCGGAAATCGGTAATTTTTGGGCCGCTCGGAATCAGAAGTGACTTTCTTCTAAGTACAGTTACGGGAAAACTCGAGAACGAAAATAAATGAAACTCGGCAACCAATCAGAGGAAAGGTTATACTAACAACATGCCAGTGTAATCCCGAACGATTTCTAGAACCGGAGAAATTGCCGTGTATGTGCGATGATCCAGTCACAATTGACGCTACCAAAAAAACAAACTTCCGGGACCGGGATTCGATGCCGCGCTTGGAAGCACTGAACATTAGACTTATAGGCCTAGCGAACGTAGACAGCTTGTATACGTTCTCTAGACTCTACATTCTAGGCCTAACTTAAAGATAATATTTTCAGGTAGATCTAGATCTAAAATCTATTGTATGACAACACTGCGGACAGGAAATACTGCTTATAACGAGTTGCACCGTCTTGTTATTGTTATCCAAGCGTCTTTCGACTTACTTGCTCAAACTCAAAACTCAGACTCAAATGATTGTGATTATGAGAAATGAACAAGACTACGTCTAGATCTAGATCTAGAATCTAGTCTACTCTTGTGCAAACAAAGTCAGAAACAATTGTTAGATCCCAATATTATTGATCGGAATAAGACAACGTCATAAAAAAAGAGTCAAATCCTAAGAGGTTTATAAAAAAACTGAGAAAGCTTCCACAATTCAGGCAGAACTACAATATTATCATGTAGAAATGATCGCTACTAGAGTGGTGTAGCCCCTGCGCGTGTGCCTTCTCGGTGCGTGCACTTTTGTTTTCCTTTGTTTTTAGCCTCAAATTGTGTTTTTGCGTTTGATTGAATGCGTCAGTTTGTGCAGCAGCCATTTTTGTTTACTTCCATCACTCGTTTGCTAACAAGGGATCATCGAGAGTGTTTTTATCAGCTGTGGCAAGTTGACATTCAACGCTGACCTGTGAACGTGTTTTTATGACCTATTTGCCTCTGACTGGTTCAAATAGACTGCGCGCCCCCTAGCTTAAAAAATGTGCCTACTCCTTCCTTCAGTGTTTCACGTGACCTTTTATCGAGTTCTATGCCAAGTTGTAATGCGGGTTTCGGGATCGGGGGGGGGGGGGGGGTGCACGCGTTGCGAAGACTGAAAAAACTCGAGTTTTCTCTGCGCGTGCACAATGAAATATATAGTAGAATACTAAGAAAAAAAGTAGACTCAATTTTAGAGACTATCTGGTTGCAGTATGAAGAATTTCATGGAAGGTGGCATGTGGACTGTGTGAAAGTTGGAAAGATCAGAGGAATGAGTGATGAAGAGTAGGAAAATGTGGATTTTAGTTGTGAAAAATTCTGTTTGATTTTTTTCACTATGTATTTGAACTATTTGTACCCCATAAATTAAATTAGTTTAGATTCTAATTAAAATTGCCTTACTTTGCTTCTAAAGTGACTTGTTATCTTCCTGTGTGGTCATTTAATGCAGTAATGTTATCAGATTTCTCTTCTTTTGGCTTTCAATGTGTATATATGGGTGCACGCACAGTGAAGAATCCCATGCACGCACTGAGAAGACATGCACGCTCAGTGAAGACAACACCCTAGGCTGGAAAAACTGTTGGGCACACAACGTTTAAGAAATCTGGCGACTATGAGCAAGACCATTTTATAGGTCAACAGTTTCTTGAATGGAATAGCTAAAAACGAAAGTACAAAGCTGGAAACGGCGGAAAATAGGTTCAACGATCGCGAAGTGCACGCGAACCGGCGACAGCACTCCAGATCTAGTGGTTAGGCTCTCGGACTCGCAACCGTAAGGTCGTGGGTTCGAATCCCGTCAAGGGCCCGACGTTGTGTCCTTGGGAAAGGCACTTTACACGAATTTTCCTCACTTCACCCAGGTGGGAATGGGTACCCGGCTATAGACAGCGAAAGATCTTGTCAGTTTGTTAGTGTTTGAGCGCTTAATCAGCTGCTTGCACTGTATGCTTCCTGGGAAGCTGAGAATGTTTCAGAGTGTTCTATGGTCTGCTGGGGTAATAATATAGTGTAAAGCGCATAGAGCCTGCTGTTGAGCGGGGATATGCGCTATACAAATGCTATCTATTATTATTATTATTACCTTGCCCAACCCGCGACCACTTGTCGTATTTTGCTTTTCAGCGGTCTCTGTCAGCAAAATAGGTCAGGCAATCCATGTTCAGGGCCGCTTCAGTGTGTCAACTTCCGGTTTATACTGTGATATCGTCAATCATTCCAAAACGTCATTCGCAGATTTCGCATTTTAACATGTTAATGCTCTGCCCATGGCGCGACCGCATGCCCTCAGCGCAACCGCATACGGAACAGGGCGCGATCATGCGCGCACAGATATGACAGGTGCAAGAAAGTTGTTAGTACAACATGTAAAGGTTAGTAAAATCATTTCTTTATCAAATTATGGTGAAAACAATTATCTTATTAATAACAGAGGGTACAGAGACAAGTGGTCGCGGGTTGGGCCAACTACTCTAGTTTTGTAATGAAGAAAACTTCTCTCAGAATGTTTCTGATAAGCCTTTCACTTCGAACTCGACTGCTGCACTAGCAGACGACTGACCTTCTCGGAAAAGGATTGACCAAAAGTGGAACTAGACAAGGCACGTAACTGAAGTAACTCTAATAAAACAGATTGCACACGAGCTGCACAGAAGGAAAAATGGGGAACTGGTCGCGCTCAGGGCACGGTCGTGCCAAAGGCGGGATAGTATAGATTTAGATCTAGATATCCAGATACTAGATCTAGTAGGCCTACTGGCGTTTCAAATAGCACGGGAGCTATTCTGATTCAGAACGCAGGGTTGCAAATAGCGCTTGCCTTAAAAGTATCTTAATTCTCAGTCACCTAGAAAACACCACAGAGTAGAAAAGAATAAGAATCTAGTTCAGAGGATTTCCCTTCATGCAGGAGTGACTAAAGTAGACCTTTTAAAATACATAATAATGTAAAGCTCACTCGTTTCCAGTAAGTGGTTAGGGACTTGGGTTTTCTTCCGCGGCTCCACAAGTTCCATGGACTCGATCATTAGCGCCTTTTCGTTGATCGATTCGCCATCGACGGCACTATTGTCGATGGCGCTTGAACCATCAACGGTTCTGTCCTGCTGTTCAAAAATAGTCGGCATGTTTGTATTTTCGTAATCACAAGTAGAATTAGAAACCTATCATCATACTGGCTCTGTCGCTACACACTGATGGCTGAGACGCCATATTGTTTATACACCGCGTATGGAAATATCAATGTTTCCAAACAATAAAATAGTCCGTAAATATGAGTAACGAATTGAATAAATCCTTAATGTATTTATCAATTTTTGTACGTAAAGGCTTCAATGTTACATAATGCTTTGAAAGCTTTGCAAATAAATGATAGAACATGGAAAAGACATCAATTTAGGAAATGATTATTCTTTTGGGAACTATTTGGGTAGTTCATAGCAACGACTCTTTCTGGCGAATGTTTAGAGGAGGTATATGTAGCTCTCCGAACGGAGAAACCTTTTAGACCGGTGAAATCGACACGATAATAATAAACTATTACATAAAGTATTATTAATTTTTTTTAAAAACTAATTAATTGCGATCTCATAACAAGCTTCCCCTTTTTATAGTTTGGCTGCTTTTCTCTCTGAGCCTAATCATGATAATATTACAATTTCCCTGATGACTTTTGCCATTAACAATAGATCTAATTATACCGAAAAATTTGTGCTAGGAACGAAGTATACGCAATGACATTAATTTCGGCCCTATATCTCTACAAGCTGTAGAAACTGCTCAACTTCCTGATTTACACACATATATATATATATTTCGTCGGTCATCTCACGAAGTGTCGTATCTGCAAAAGTAGTGTTTTGCAGGAGAGAGGTTTAAAGTTTTGGGCGCTTTTCTTTTTGCTCTGGCGTCGAAACCGGAAGACTGAAATCTATGCGGTTTGGATCAAAGCTTCTTTGAGTGGTACATTTTCACTCCATGTGCTGTTTTCGGCAGTATTGTATCATTCCTGTGAGAAAATCAGGAGAAAA